ATGAATGGTACGGCACACAAGGGCAGGCATCCCAGAGTGCTCATGTCGCTACGGCTCGCCAGGTTCGATTGAAGGCGCGCGCAAAAGCTCAGTGCGCCGCGACAAGCGGATTGCCCGAGAGCTTTTCACCAGGCCACCGAGAAGGGAACACCTCGCACGGTATCGGGCATGGACGCCGGTGCCCCACAAAAGGTCGAATGGACCAGCCCCCACAATCTACTTGTCCCCGGTAGCCAGTAAACGTTCTCGCTTGGCGGCATACTTTGAACGAATTTTCCGAGTTTAGCAGCGCAAAGAAAACGTGTTATCGGCGAGACTGCCATGATGCGTAGTCAAAACCGCGCACCTTGCGCCCCAAGAACCTTCTGTGTTGCCTCGGGTCCTGAACAGCAACGAGACGGGGTTATCGCCAAGAATTCGAGCAATTATTGCCATGATGTATTGATCGCCACACACAAGGCATCCTAACTCGCGGACAGAAAATGCGCACGGCGTCGAAGTGGGCGAAATTTTCCGCGGTTTGAAGAACAGGAAAACCGCATCTTTGCATTGCTCCTGACCGTCGCCAATGACATGGTTCTTTAGTGCAACGTGTACCGGCCGTCCCCCTAGGGAACACCTGCTAGAGAATATGCGCCCGAAACGAGCAAAACAAACGCTGCCTGATCGGGGTGCCACCCTACGGCGGTCCAGATTCAGAATTACGAGAAGTAGGCAAAAGTGTCGAACCAGCCGCACAAGCCAGCGAAACCAAGCGACCTCTGCAGGAGATTTCGCGTGCAACGGCGGGTGGCACAGGCCTGTTCATCAGAAGGGCGCTTCGCCGGATTAGCCTGACGAACAAGGCCAGCGAGCGTCAGCAGGTCGCTCGGGACCAGTACTTCTTGACTTGTAGTTCGAACCTTTCCATTTTGTTGGGAAAAACATTTCCCGGCAACGGCGGTGCAGTCAACACCATGCGCCGTTCGTTTGCAGGGGACGGATGCAGCGGAATGTTGTCAGGAGGTGGCACGGTGGGCAAGAATGAGTGTATCCAAGCCATCGAGTCGGGCTTTCGGCGCTCCATAAGGTTTCAGAAACTCCAGCGGGGTTGACTAGGCCACCCGGAGCAGTATTCGAAAACGTGGGAGTCGCAGAAGTCATGCCTCCAGACGGCGTAGGCATCGGGGCGAGCAACCGTGAGGCATCCGAACGCTCATCGCTCGCGGGTCCGCACCACAAAACCGTATTCCGCGCCGACAAGGCACCATGGTCGCCTGTGACAGGCTGTGGTGAAGCACGGGACGAAACCTGATGAATAAAAGGTTGGGAAACAAATACTGGAGTTCCCGGAGGTGTCCGTGCGATACGGGCGTTCTGGGAACTACCATAGTCGCGTAGCCTTTGCCGTTGCTGCCGATGTGTGCGAAAGGCAGTCACCGGCAGGCGTGCCGGCTACATGCACGCGGTTGTGAATCTCCAGAGTTCCGCACATGAACCACGCGGGTTTGCGTGGGCCCTGCTCGGACTCCCAAGAAAACAACATTGGTTGGCGGACGGCGCCGTTACTTGCTTTCTGAGTGGAAGGGATGACGGAGAAAACAGATCACCAATACCTCACCACTCTGGACAGAAATACAGGCGAGACTGTGCCTCGTATGTCAAAATGGAAATTGATTTCATCGTTGTCTGTCTCTGAATCCCTACCGTTCCTCTCGCCTCTAATATCCCATCGTTGTTCCTTTTCAGCACGTTGACCTACCGACTGCACGACAGGAGCAGTAGAAGAGCGTGCTGGCGATATCCATCCGTCATCGACAAGATAATTATTTTGGGAAGACAGTCTCTATTTTCCTGTATCGGTCAAACTAGTTCTCATTGATGTCTCGGCAACGATTCGAGCGCTAGATACAATCCTTGAGACACGATGAAAAGGCCTCGATGGGGCACGTTGAACCAGTGAGCTCTGTACACCGCCGCTTGGGCACCGCATTATGGGACGGGAATCTCCATGATTAAAAATGGTACCTGTCTGTTTGGTTGAGGTCTCCAGTGGGATTGGAAGGACTTCAGCGCAAACAATAGTGTCAGAAACATCTCAATCGTCATCCAGCAGAACAAATGCCACAGTATGTCCAAACAAATCGGGGCTGACATTCCAACCCAGAAGGATGTTGTTAAGAACGAACGACTAAACCGAACGTCGACTAGCCGCTTCACGCTCGCTTAGATCCTTATTGTTCGTTTTTGTTAGCCTTGTCCGGGGTATTGTCGACTACCGACGGAAAACAGCAGAAAAATCGACCAAAACATTGTCCGAGCGATAGTACGCCGAGCTACCTCGCCACACAGATTCGACGTCACCCCCCTGTCGACTGACCCAACGGAATGTGCGATGACTTCAGACTAAAGACTAGTCTTTAGAGGCTACCCCTCGTAGCCCCCGGGGAGACCGACTTGACGCGCGAGTTTCCGCTTTGTCCTTGCCCCTGTCTGTCAGGCGCCTCTTGCCAAACTGGAAAAGTCAAGAAACTTGAGTCACTCCCTACGCGCAGAACCTCTCTAGACAAGAGCCCGCGAGCCACGCGATGCCACTGCAAAACAGCCTTCATCATTTCCGGACTTCCCGCGCGCGAAGTCCGGGAGCCCCCGTGGAAATGCTGCGGCAAGATACCGCGGGGCAGAGGGAAGAGGAAACCTTTCCGAGGAAAGCCTACCCGCCCGTGGAAACCTTCCTCTTCCACGGGAAGCTTCTTTCCTCTGCCCGCGGGAAGTTTCCGCTGAAACTACATGTACATATATTTTCGCTCAAACTGCCCGTTTCTGTGGGAACTTCTCTTTTCGCGAGGAATCCTGTGGAAACTCTGCACGGAAACATTCACAAAATGTACTACAATCTCTGCATCGTCGTGAAGACACGGCAAAACTCGTCCGCCACCAACAATGCAGGTTAGGTCGTGCGGTAGTGCCGTGCTCCTACCCCCCCCCCGAACGCATAAGAACTGCCCTTCTGCAGTGTCGCCTACTTTGTTAATTCATTGGTTGTCCATTGCGTGAGTTCGCACTGAACAACCATAGTACCTGCGACGTGCAATTTCCTGGCAGTGATGACGAAGATCAGGTGATCACGACTTTGAATTTTCTTTCCAAGATACGAAACCCTCCGGGTAGTTGTCGATATCACGCTCTTTGGACGCAAGGTTGATCTGGGGAACACCGGTGATTTCGTTTTGATACGTTCAACGAAAAAGTGGGTCCAAGAACAGTGCAGCTGGTCCTTCACGCCAAGGTACGGGTTTTGCATGGCCGTGTCAAGGTGTTCCAAAATACTTGACAGAATCGTGCTTCGGGACAATACTTCGTGATGCCGGTGGTGTTTCGAGCGGCTTTGACTAGAAGGTTGAAAGCTATATGTTCGTATGACTACTCCTGTTCACCCCAAGCGCCAGGCATGGAGTTGTTTGATCCACGTGAACCCTCAACTACTTGTTCGGACTAGATCTCACAACAATGTCCACCCCGACGAACAAAGCGCATCACAACGTTACGATTGAGAATCAATGGCTTGTACCCGGCTGATGTGCGCTCGCCTTAACGCCATTTGTTCCAACCAAAGGAACCAAACGGGCACCACCTACAGTACCGTGGCCGACTGCCATTCTCTCATTATTCAATCTTCTGAAAAGGACTCTTGTAATAGGTGGCGGGATATTTTTTGCGTATGTTCCGCGAAAGAAGAACATTGAAGAAAAGAAAAGGCACAGGTCACTCGATGCCCTGGGTCCACGATCGTGTAGAGATGGGGTGTTGCTTGCATTTAGTGAGAGAGAAACGTCTGGACTGAAGTTCACCTTGCATGTTACACCCAGGGGGCACGCAGATACTCCTGACGTGGTATGGGCTGTTTAGAGGCATACCTCCAGGCCACCCACATCCGATGCCAGACGAGGCACACCCTATATTTGATAACAGCAACTTACTGTATCCCACCCTGAATATCACTTTTATGCAGATTCTAGACTCCCGAATCTACTCCCCGCACCACCACTGAGACAATGTCGGCCTACTTCCTAGAGAGCGCCACCTAGGGAGCGCCAACAGGCGGAGACTCAATAACATAGCTCCCAACCAGAGGCGAATAAACACATCATCATATTAACGACATAAACCAAAGCAAAAACAAGGCAAACGCCACACACCACTCTTCTACGCGCACCACTGTAGCACGTATTAAGAAAGAGCAACGTTCTGCTACGTTCTGCACGCCAAGTTGTAGGCACAGTTTGACAATGGGGAAAGAAAAGTTAATCTTTTGTCACTCGATGACCTGGGCCCGAGCACGCAGATATTCCTGATTTGGTATGGGCTATGTACAGGCATACCTCCAGGCCATCACACATCCAATGCTAGACTAGGTACACCCTATTTTGGAGAACAACAACATATGGTATCCCGCCTTGAAAATAATACATATGTAGATTCTAGACTCAAAATCCTCGAGAGCTTTAGTAGCTGATGACCCGAGAGCATGAGTCGAAGGTATGACTCTTTACAACGTCGTCCAAGGGAAGGAGAGCAGCGGAGGTTCCCGAATGTACTCCCCGCACCACCATTGAGACAATGTCGGCCTATTTCCTGGGGAGCGCCAACAAGGCGGAGACTCTATAACACCGCTCCCAACCAGGGGAGGGATATACAAACGAAAAGAAACGGTAGGCCGCGCATAAACACGTTGCCATATAAACGACATAAACGAAGCAAGAACAAAGCATACGCCACACACTAGTCTACTCCTCTACGCGAAAGAGGAAACGTTCTGCAGACGACGCCTATAACAACATGAAGGAGGCCAAGCTCTAGGAGACAGCTTGCTTAATCGTGGGTAAAGAAAGGTACCGGTCACTCGATGCCCTGGGCCCACCATCGTTTAGAGACGGGATATTGATTACAAGGGCTGGGAGACAAAACGTCTGGGCTGAAGTTGCATTTTCCACCTTCAGCCCAGGGGGCACGCGGATTTGTCCTGATGTGGTATGTGATATTGTGAGGTATACCTTCCGGCCATCCAACATCCTATGCTAGACAATGTACACCCTATTTATGTCACAATACAAGCAACTCTTCTTGACAAAGCCGTATCCATCGCTTAACTCAGCCTAAACGCCAACAAGAGGACACCAACTATGAAATGAAACGAAGTTCAAAAGTGAAAAGAGTATTCGCATCTTAATGCCAGACCAATCGTGGTCATTGCTTGGGTAACACCCGTCTGCAGATAGCAGAGAAAGCTTATCGAGAATGTTCCCCGTGGGGCAAAAGAGCATCCATACACCCTAATAAATAATTACCAAGAACAAGCGCGGCTCCGAGAAGTCAACCCTCTACCGCTCCGATGGAGTCAGCTGGCCACGATACCCGAAAATACTGCAATTCATTGCAGCGAGTCGACTAGCGCCAGTTCGTACCGAGTGCTTCCGCCGTCTGTTGCTTGAAAATGGACAGCGCAAAGGAGTACAACAACATATCTGCTCCTAACACGCGGTGAATGGCCGGGTTTTCGTGAGCCCATTGAAGCACCTGGTCGCGAAGCCCGGACGTTACCCCTGGATTTTTCTGCTTGAACCTGTTCCACTCACGCACGGGGGACCGCACGCGGGCGTTGAAGAGCTCCATAGACAGTCCCCAGTGTTCCATAATACCCACTGCCGCATATCCAGCCAAGATGTCCTGCAAACGTCAGAGATAACCAGATCAGGCATGAGCAGCACATTCACCAGACACGCGTTGTTCGTGGTCAGAGATGACAGATCGGCGTAGCTGTAACCCCAAGTCCCCATATTGGCCTATATTTCAATCGGTAAGCTTCCATGACACGTATTATACAACCCCGACCACCATCGAACGACCTCAAACGAATTTGGATTCAGAATCAGAATCGTCGCGAGATTGTCCTGGTACCCGCAAGAGGACGCACAAGCGACGTTGGAGAGGAATTGTATCTGTCTGAAACTTGAACGGATCGCCAAACCTCGACACCGTGAACGAAACTTGCATTCTGGGTTAACAGCATGATAAACGTGCCTGAGGGTGGGCCAACACGACTGCTGTCCAACATTGTCTATCGACTGAGGAAAAGGAATAGAGAGCAGATCGAAGAAATATCCCCAGTTCAGCGCGGTTCATTCCACCGAGTCGAGTCAGATATGTCTACGGTAATACATGTCCCCTCTTCGCCGAGCGAACGCCTGACCTACATGGGGCCCCTGAGCGTCTCCGGCCTAGGTGGTTTGACGACTGACCCCCCCACGACACCAGTACGTTGTATTCGCCCTACATATGCCTGTGACGAGCAGCACAATAACCAAAGCGGATGTGCACCCCTCACCTCGACCTGCTGGAGGAGATCTAGGCCACCGGGTTCATCCACCATCTGCGGCGCGTCAAGCTGCGGGCAACCCCAGATGAGCGACACACATGTAGATAGAAGCAAGATTAGATTATTACGAGATACTGCCATGCGAGACTTATCGCCGGTCAGCGATGGTCTTTGATGGTCTTCGGACGATTTGCCAAGAGACTTACATTTTTCTTCATGTCAGGCAGCACTATTATTGCCAACGGTTGTCAGAGCGAAGATTTCCAACGGTTTTCAGAGCGCCACGCCACAACAGCATCCGGCGCACTGAACGATAAATTATCGGTGAAAGCGAAATGGACTCGTGACACCCCGAGTTCCCTGCACATTGCCCCTCCTGAAACTAGTACGGGAGCCGAAACGCCTTGTGATCAGAAGAAACAACGACCCGAAATTGTGTAATAGTGCTCTTTTTCTAGTGATACCCCGTGTAGCCCGTTCAACAAGTCAACATCCACGGCGAATTGTGACAGTTTGGCAGCATTTCACCTATTTAGGGTCAGAACACAGAGCTAATCGCAACGTGTGTACGAGATCACTCTCACCTGCATTTCTCCGCAGATGGCTTCAGGGGGACAGTACAAGCCGTACGTCATCTGCTTGAATGCCAGATTCTGCCACATCTCCGTCGCGAACTCCAGCAGGCGCTCGGTCGCGGGCACCGGGTGGTCGACGTTCCCACACCACTTCAAAGAATAGATGTCCACGCACGCAAAAAGGTAAGTTAGCGCAGAGCTCATCCTGTTGCTGCAAATGTTTCGGGGACGTGCACAGGAGTTACACATCTGGAAGAGCTAACATGGAACTACATAGAGCAACCCGTTGTAGAGATGGTATTCTGCTCCAGATGACACCGTAACGGCGACCCTGCGTCATTCATCACACGAAAAGCACGCGCCTGCTGGCAAATGGTATCGATTTTTCGGCTCTCAAGGTGAGCGAAGACGCCACAATCGGCGGGGACGTTGTCCATGCACACCCACCTTCCGGGGCCTGATTTGAACATCGTGGTCCGATGGGCAGTAGAAAAACGCCGAGACCAGGCGGTCGATCGGGTGTCTCAAAACCGTGAAGTACTCGCAATCCCCCCTGACAACCTCCAGAGAATCCCTGGTAAGACGGAGGAGAACAACGGAATCGCACGTTCCAGTTGTTAATCATGGACGCAAGCGTTCGGGGGAAAGAGGACGTGGAAGCATCGTGACCCTCTTGGGCCGGGCGTTCATTTTGGTTCCTTGGAGAGAGGGAAGGACTTGTAAAACCGACGCGTTAAACCTTCCTGACAATCGGGAGGTTATGGTCAACCCGGGCAAGCTTCCCGACGAAGACATGACAACAGGTGCGTGGTCCAGAGGGGGCGCCCGCTTTCGCATCAATTCAATGTGACAATACTGTCGTTGCACTGATCGTATCTCCCCTCCCCTCCCCATTTGTGGCGCAACAAGTATGACGAACTCTCGACCATTCCCACAGAGTTAGGGATGGGTTAGTTAACAGTGAAGGCGGGCGATCCCATCACACCCCCGCTTCGATTTCGCCACAGGTTTGTCGATCGATTGACTTTTCCTCCAAATATTGGCACCACTCAGAGGATCCGAGCAATGCCGGCTTCTCACGGTCATACGCCAAATCCGGATGAAACCGGTGCCAAACAACGACAACCGAATCGACAGTCGCAACCCGTCCATTGTATGACGCAGTCCGACCCTAAGCTGTGCCCATGCTGTTATCGTGGATGGTTACAAACGCTGTCCCCGACACTGGATGATCAACAAAGCCCCTTTTGGATCTTGACCTGCTATCGAAGTCCGGTTCAAGCCGCGGGTCTTTTTTTGCCGGGAAGCCAATCTGTCCGACCCCCCCCCCCCCCCCCTCAGGCAGAGACCAATTCTTACGAAGTAATCATGAACCTCAACCTTCTTAGTCTAGGATTCTTAGTCTAGGCTTCTTCTGACTATGCCGGACGCGTGCGTTCGGGCGGAGACGCGGCGGTACGCTTAGTGACTGGAAATCACCGAAATCGGTCACACAATGTTTGCACTGGACTGATCGATCGGAGGCTGGCATCACATATCCGTGGAGTGTTCGCTCATGTCAACCAAGGCCACGAGAACTTACAAACAAGAACCCTCGCATGGCTATCCTACCTTGACGAACTGTAACAACCTGTCCTTTGCGAATGTAACGAAAGAGACAACTCGCCTATATAGCATTCCTCGGCGTTCTCTATTTGTCACAGTAATAAACTTAGACAACGGTGGATATGAAACAACAATCGCCTGCATTGCTGTAGCTCTGAATGGAAAGCGTCGTTCGTGGCAGTGGCGATCACCTCATAAGTTCCGCGTACCCCGTGATGACTGCAGAAGAGTTGATGGCTTCCAGGCAAGCGGATTTTCTGTCATTCCCATTTATACACACAGCTGCGCCGGCATACGAAACAGCAGGGAGAGGGTTAACACGTCGTTAGGCGTCAATGAGACTGTAGCTAGTTGTTGCTCAAACACCAAAAAAACGTGGTACAGACAACGCCATTTGAAGAGGTGGCGACGGCAACATTCTTGTCGTTGGCGTTCAACTCTGCACGAATATCTCCTCATCATCCTGTCAGTGACAACATGAAGTACACCTTGTGCGCTTCACACATACTGTTCGACACTCCGTGGTGTATTTCCACGTTCGGGTCCGACATTTCCATGCTCTGTACACCTTAGTCCATATGGTGGGCGAAACATCGGACGGATAGCTTGACGTTTCTTGGTATTTCACGCTCATGGAGCGGGTTCGATCTTCCGAGTGATACTTGCAATTATCTAGAACAAAGCTGTACCTGGCTTCTCGAGGCCTTCATCCCGTGTAGCTGTGGCAAGGATGCTCTTAACGGTCGAGCCCGCGCTTTTCACCATATGGTGGAAGACGGTGCAGTATTCAGGGGGCTGCCCAGGTTCACTTCTCGCGTAGAGCTTTACATATGAAGCAGCGCGCAAATCGACAACAACAGCATCACAGCAAGGATGCGAGGGTGGGTGGCGTCCATGTCAGTCACTATGCAGCTAAACGTTGTAGGACCACGAGAGATTCACAAGGTGCTGCGTTCCTCTTAGTACCCATAGGTTTGCCCCGTTTTCGCACGGTCAGTTTGTCGCGGTGCCTGCCGACGAAGGCTAAAGACTTGGCACAACCTATTACGCCTTCCTCCACATGTTATTCGAAAACTTCCAGTGCCTCCATGAAACCCTCTGAGAATCCACGCGCGAATGCCTGCGTTGATTTCGGAACATCACACCTCCATAGCAGTTAGCCTGCCAAACACTGGATTATATTATACTTCTAGGAAGGCATGCAGCAGCCCAGAACCTCACCGTATCACTCCCAACGACGAGCAAGGAGAAAATGCAGGCAAGCCTAGTGATGTGCAAGAGCATCTTCATGAACGGCGGCATCACTCCTCCAACACCGGAGCAGATTGGCCCGTTAGCTCCGGTCGGGTTGCTTTCCTTTGGAGAAATAGAAACCATTGCGGACGAACTGGTGAGTAAGCTTTGGAACATATTTGAAGCAAATCTAGGGAGGTTCACTAAGGCCCCCACGTGGGTGTGCAATACGGACTGATCCAATGGCCAATCATGTCTCTATTTCGAATTAGCACACATGATGCGTAGGAACGCAAAACATTCATACAGTTGAACCTACTGCAATGAAGCAATGTTGTTGTTCCTGGTTTGAAGTATGTCCACCGTGTGCGCAGTGGGAAAAATAATCCAGGCACGTGTTTCGTTCTCGTCAAAAAGGCAACAGACCAAAAAGTACCGGGGTGTCCCGTTACAAGTAACTCTAATTGAACGTCGTGCGGTCATCGGTGAATGAATGTATTTCAGAGGACACCGTCGTCAAATAGACTATTTAGGGACACGCTTACGTTCTGTAGGTCTTTGAGGTGTAGATACGGGTAAACCTGGGATGTAGCCCGTGAGCAATCTTTCTTGGTTCTTCGTTGTTCTCCCTCTCGTTGGAGTTCATGCGCCTAGCAGTTGCCGGAAGAAAGAGGAAACTACGTACACACCTATCATACCAATCACATCAAACTTAATACACTACTACGACAGCAGCATTAGTTCCCACAGCGTAGGCCTACCGCAAAAAACCTCCACCATTGTCAGAGGACAACAACTAACAGCAGTGAGTGGTGTCCTCAAACGGGGTCGTTCGTTGTGATCGGCTGCGGGAGTTACGCGGGGTGGGCGGGTTGAGGTCGGTCTATCATTTGGGATTTTCCCAGTTGGCAACAGCAGCAGTACCACCACCACCACCACCACCAGCTTGTTGTGACGTGGTGTGCCTACGCGCACCAACTTTGAAAATATTCCCCTCCGACGTGTGCAAACCGTGGCTGCACTATCCCTTCTTTACCGACAAGCGTGAAGCAACTAAGTTTCGACTGTGTGTATCATTCATCATCGTCGTCGCGTAGAAAAGTGAGCCCACCCGACCGACCGAGTGCTCGGCTGATCTCTTTTCCAACACACCGAACGCCAGAAGAGTCTCGGATGTACCTACCTGCACGTACACAAGCAACAGTGTGTGATCGCTGTCTGTGCTGCATGGGTTTCTGTGCCGTTATCTATCCGGGAGCATCTGTTGTGAATGGTGCGGTCATCGTATCGTTCATACGAGCAGCTGGTACATACTGGTGGTCCTGAGCGAACACGACGCTGTTGCATGTGTAGTCTACACATCACAGTGCCTGTCAACCATCTGTTGGGAAAGATCACGTGCGGCCCGCGAACGCATAGTCTAGGATGAATGCTCGAGCGAGGTAGGTGGTAGGAAGATGTACAGGTGCAGGTATGTAGGAAGATATAGTCTACAGGCTGCTGGCTGCGGGCAGCGTGTGTGTTGAGATCGTGCTGAGAGCTTACCTGGTGCTTGATCTTCTTGTTGCTGTTGTTCCGGCGGAGGGAGGTGGTGGTGAGGAGAGTGGTGAGGGGAGTGTGAAGTGTGTGCGAGATACAGCAGCAGTCAGTGTGTAAATTACATCATTTTCGATTATTCTGTGTTGTAGTCCGACCCCGAATTGGATCTTTTAGCTGTCACACCGGATCTGGCGGCCTCAGAATACCAGGTACGGAGCTGGAAGTTGACCCGCCTGGCTGGTGGATCTTTTGCCGTACTGTAAAAATAGACGCAAACACACACGTCGTCAGTGATTACTTTAATTGCAGAACATCTGTGTAACAACAGCGTTGCACCGTCGCCGTTGGGCTGGCTTTGTGTGCTCTCTCTGTGCTCGGCGGACGGTGTGGGACAGGATGGTTTTTTGTGGATCGCTGTACATGAGCACGCTGTGAGCGTGAGTACGCTCTGTTGTACGCTCTGTTTGGTGTACACCAGCCCGGAGCCCGGGTTATTTATCAAATTCCAGACCCTTTGACCTAGCTATTCTTGTTTTCTCGAACTTGCACGGCAGACGAATCTGGTTCTGTTAGAGAAAGAAAGTCATTGATTGGCAAGAAGCATGCGCAATCACTGAAAGAATGTCTGTTCCAAAAAATACCACAGCAAGCAGTCAAAGGAATGTGTTGGAGTCTGTTGCCGTGATGTCAAAAGAGTGGACGGGCGTGAACTCTTTCGATACTGCCCACTCAAAATTAGCGTCCTCATCAATCATGCAAAAGAATGAAACTTATAAAAAATCTGGACACACGGGGATCTGAAGTTCGGTTCCAACTGAATTTCAAAGGTTCCAAAAAGTCAAAAAAATTCGATGTTGTACCGTGTACTGTAGTTGACACACAAGATACCCCCTGAACAAGTTTTCAAAGCTCGATTTCTCGACAAAAAAAGGAGTGGCAGGGCCGAAAACGGCGGCGTTAGGCTGTCTTGTCGAGAGTTGTTCGAAAATAAACCTTGTCGCCATTTATTCGTCCTCTTCTTCGTGGAGTAAATCAAGCTTTGAAGATTGCAGGAGGTGTGGCATCTTCTGTCACCTGCTTGCTGTTCTGACAGAATTTCGTTCGTACGTCGCCCTCTACCCGTCACACCAAACACCAAACACCCCATACTGCCAGTTGTAACATCAAGAATCTGGATGGCACCGACAATAACTCCTCACACGTGAGCTGAGCGGGGGTAGGTATCTGGGGGCAACTGACTCCGGACGTACGGCGATTACCTGCTGTGCCCTTGGGTGAGCCATCGCGTTTGTTTCGTCGGCACCTGCGGAAGAACCTTCACAATATATTCAGTAGTTATCCTTAGAAGAGATAAATAACTTTATGACGAGGCCGTTTTGCTGCTGCCGTGATGCCATGCTGTGCACTGCGAATCTCTCGAGGTGCTGTAACATGCAACTGGCACACGAACATGCGACCGCCCATGGTTTGTGCTCTGCTTGTGGACCTGCCATGTGAGTATTCTCTTGCGGCACACTAGACTATGTACTCTACAGTACAGCAGTAGAGACAATCTGTTCGCATCGAGGTCCCGCGCCCGACTGCTGCTGCTGAATCGTGAAGAAGACTTATCCTCAGCTCCAACACGCGAGAGGCGCCGGCGTCAAATGTGTGTTTTTATTATTTGCCGTGTGTGTGCTGCTGTGCTGTCATTCTGCTGTACACTACACATCTCTCAAGTCTTGGCGTGCAGACAATCGACCCAAACCTCATGCGTCCAACACCTATCTATTCCGAACATCTGACACACACACACACGCGGACACGATGATAATACTGACCCTTCAACACTGACTGCTTGCTGTAGTTCGCACCATCAGCTCCCGACGTTTTTTTGTGAATGGATTTAACACGTGCGAAGTCATTCCGGTTCGAAAAGCCAATGTTCGGGACATTGGCACTGCTGCTGTGGCCAACGTTCTGCCGGGTTTGTTTTTTCCGTTGCCCGCGTCGTTCTCTAAGTTGATGGAGACGGCATGTAGATATATCGTTGTAGATGATACTTACTGTCGTCGTCGTCGTCATCATCGTGATTTAATGCCAAGAAGGTTGAGAGGGGTGTCTTCGTTGTTCTGTTGTATCGCATGGACACGTGTGGGCATGCTTGGGGAGTAAAATCTGCTGCTCAATGATGACGCCATGCGTCATGTCCATCGCACCAACCCTACATAGCGGCTGTGCGTGTTGAAGCTTCGCGTCGTCTTAAAAGCTCCCAGAGTCTTGCGTTTAGCAAACACTGCTTCTGGTACTACATGCAATTGCGTTGGATGACGACGATACTGCTTGATTTGTCCCTAGACAACGAAAAAACGACAACGACAGAGAGAGGAAACAGATGCATCTATATATTCGCATGAATGAACGAACATAACGCGTTCCCACGTATACCAATTAATACCTAGATGCCGACTACCGTGCAAGTAGGGCAAACTGCGTCGCAGACACCGGGAGCGGCTTCTATAGGTCAACACAACACTGACAACGGCAGAAAACGCGAAACGTTTAGCGTCGTATATGTAGGACCGGGCGAGAGTCATCACTCATATCCGGGATTGGGACAGATCGCCCCGAGTTCGGGCCTACTTGGTCTTTGCCCCCCCCCTCGACGATCGTCGCCAGGTGATCAATCAGCAGTAGCGGCAGACACGAGGCAGGCCAGAAGCTCCCACCGGCTAACGAAAACAAACCCCTTCAAATCACTACAAAAAAAAAAGCTTTTTGCTCTGAAACAACGAAAGGGTCACATCGTCACATCCCGTTCAGCACTCGGCACACTTGTGGGACAGCCTATCCCAACAACTTCTCGTCGTTGCAGAAAAAAAAAAACGAGGAAATTACGTGTCATTACTCGAACCATGAGCCGAGAGGGCGAACTACCTTCCCGCCGCAAACCCCTCAGCTCGTCCACCGGCAAATGACGTACCAAGCTCGACACTACCCCACCCCCACCCCTGTTACCGTATCACGAACTCCATCTAATACCCAACAGACCTCTCGCAACGCACGGAGGGAGAGACCGGGTCCACTAGGCAGTGATGTGAGATCAATTGTAGTTTCTATGTTCTTTAGTGACATGATCGTACTTTTTCTTTCCCCCGCGGGACCGTGAGGAAAGGTCGACCCGCGCACAGAGTAGCCACAGACAAGTTTGCGACGCTTGTTTTCTTTTCATGTTCGCAAACTTGCGAGAGCATCATCTCATCCGTATTCTTTCACGAGGACCTAGAGGACCTAGAGGACCTAGAGGACCTAGAGGACCTAGAGGACTGTAGCTCCGGCCGATGAAGATATATACATCACAACCCTTCGGTTCGGTGGAATCGTGAGGTACTGTTATCGCAACGTTTTTCTAGCTTAAATCGTGATTTCGTCTTGCCGGAGGACCGTGATAACCACGGAGCCGCTCTGCTTCTTGAACATCTCCATACCATCTTTGTACGAGCCGAGGGTGACGCCGTCTAGCTTCTGTAGGGTGTCTCCGACTTCGATACCGCCCGCCTGTGAGCGGGGAAGAGAAGGCAGCAGGACCGCGGGATACGGACGACGTCAACATCCATCCATCATCGTCACCACGATCACCGCTATCATCATCACAACCGCCACTACATCGAGCCTGTTGCCAACAAGAGGGGGGGGGGGGGGGGG